GCCGCCCCGAGTAGACATGGTCTAGAGGGGCAAGGTAAAAATAAAATTAATTAAATAAAATAAATAAATAAATAAATAAATAAATAAATAAATAAAATAACAGTTACCGTGTTTCCCTGAAAATAAGATAGGGTCTTATATTAATTTTTGCTCCAAAAATGCAGTAGGGCTAATTTTCAGGGGATGTTTTATTTTTTTTCATGCACAACAATCTACATTTATTCAAATACAGTCATGTCATCTTCTTCTGGTTGCTGCACGATGGTGGAGGTGGGGTTTCACTTAACTAGGGCTTATTTTGGGGGTAGGGCTTATATTATGTGCATCTGAAAAATCATACTAGGGTTATTTTCAGGTGAGGTCTTATTTTTGGGGAAACAGGGTAGTAAACCGAACTCCGCACCAAGGTGAAATTTAGTTGGCATTAGCCCTTCTGCTCTGCATTTTGACAACAGGATATCCACCTTAAGACTGTGACGATGTTTTTATAAGCCAGGATTTTATTTTTATTTTTAAAAAGCTTATGTTTTGTACCTAAATGGCATTAAAGTATAAGCACCTTGGGAGGGCATTCCACCGCTGGGATGCCACTACAGAAAACCCCCCTCCACTTTTGTAGCCACTGATGATGAAGGTCATATCTGGAGAAGACATCAGCCAGTGACCTTGCTGCGAACATGTTGAAATGGGAAGATATGTCATATAACAATTACGTGCCATCAAGTCCGTTCTGACTTATGACAACCGTTTCCATGGTTTTCTGGGTACAGAGTCCTCACAATTGGTTTGCCATTCCATTCTTCTGGGGATGGTCTGGGACTGTGTAGCTTGCTCAAGGCTATATGGGCCCTTCTCCCAGAAGACATACTGGGGAATTGAATTCCTGACCCCAGGCTCCTCATCCTGATGCTCTAACTCTCTGAGCTCTTCAGATACTTCTTCAGATAATAAGGTCTCAAGCCAATTAGGATCTTAATGGTAAATACCAGCACTTTGCACTGGGTCTGAAAATTTAAAGGCAGCTATAAAAATTATTTCAGACTGGAGACATAGTATAATCAAAACTCTGACTGCTCCACTCTGCAGTAGCTGACATTTCTGAGATGTTGTCAGATACAATCCTTTGCATACAGTCCATTGCAGTAATCCATTTAGGATGTTACAAGAGCACAGACACTTATGCCTAGCGTATGAGTACACAGAAATCACATTCTGATTCACGGCCAGTAAATGCCCATCTTTTTTTAAGGGATCATCATGCATTTCTTGGTCAGCTTCCTCTCCTCAGTGGTGGAGCAGATGTTTTCTTTGACCTTGGGAGAAGCTGTGATAAAGATATGAAAATCAATAGGCTAATACAGTTTGACCTTGGGAGAAGCTGTGATAAAGATGATATGAAAATCGATAGGCTAATACAGTACAGTTATTCTTCTCATCTGTGACAGATACTTTTTAAAATATAGGCATTACTATCTCAAAATTTATTTTAGTTAGCATTAGCCCATTATTGTTTTGATGCACATCCTGGACAATGTTTGCTGACAGGAAGAGGAGCACCCCTTGTGTCTCGAAGGCTTTTCTCAGCACTCAAGTCATAATATTTTATATGTCACAAAAGGTTATTTACCCTCCACATTTCCTACTAGTCCCCCCTTTCCCTAATTTAGTGCTGTGCAGATTGTAATTCCTACAAGCCTTATTACATGACCAATGGCTGGGCATGAGGGGAATGACAGTCCAGATTAGCTGAAGGCATCCGTTTGGGAAAGGCTGCCTTTGTGCAGCCAGATCAACGCCAAGTGCTCCATGGAATGTGCTGTGTGTAGCTCCCATGTGCCATAAACAATGCACCTCAAAATTCTCCTTCACGTTCCAAATACCTTTCACGTCGTATCTTACATGATATTTTATAAATGCCATCACTGAATTATTAAGCTCCCCTGCCTCCCAGTATTGGAGCAGCCAAATGAAAAGAGTAGTAGAATGAGAGCGAAAGTACAGTACTATGATTCCTACCCCATACCTGAACAATTCCCTATTTTGTGCAAAAGTCTTAAAAATTCTAAATCTGATGGCAAGCCAGGAACACACATTCACTAGTTGGGAAGAGAAAGATTGAAACCACTGGAGAAATACTTCTTATGAAATGTTCCCTGCACAAAAAGCAATCTATAATGAACTCTGGAGAATATTAGAAACACCCCGATGACTAGGTATCTCCAATAGGTTCCTTCCAACCTCAGCAAAGATTCCTGGAGCTGAAAGAGCAGGTTATATCTAATCTCCTCTCTGATCCAGCAGCTTTGGAACATGTGGTCCCAAAGGAGACCAGCAAGAACTTTATCATGGATCAAGTATGAGCTTCAGAAGGAGGTTTTGACCATTTCACTCACCTTTCACCTTCTGCTAGTTCCCGTTTGCATCATATAGATTCTAAACAATGCTGGAATGAACAGTGTCCCACAACACTCAATGGCATGAACTCCAAGGGCCTATGAGCAGTTTCCTTCCTGAACAGGATCCTGTTGAGAGGACTGGGACAATTTGAGAGAAGTGGTAGCTATGATGAGTTCTCCAACCCAAGCAGTACTGGGTTATTTATTGTCCCTTCCTGTCCCCTTATCTCAAGTTGGCTGCAAAACAATAGCATTGACAACTAAGAGAATATAATGCTTCCCAGTGTGAATCAGCTGCTCCATTCTCCTCCTGATGAAGAGGTTGTGACTCTGGCTTTCTGGGGCTGAGCTGGAGCTGGCTGGATAGCTGTGGGGCTTTGGAGGACCCAACGTGACTCTGTGCACACGTATGCAGGGAAAGCTTCCCGGTACCATTTTTGTTGCATCTTTTATCTAGCAAATTGTCACCACTGAAACCTCTTTTCTGCCAGAGCCATTTTTATAAATCCATCAGTCATGAGAAGGGCAAGGGCTGAAGCTAACGAAGGCAGGTGCAAAACTCAGAAGGGCCCACCCAGCTGGGGCCCCTCCCACGGCTCTCGGCTCGGGTCCTCAAGGCAGCCAGTTTTGTCATTCTAATTCTAGCCTGCCCTTTACAAAGATATTAATGGACACCAGTTCCTATGTGTAGGGAAAAGACAGATCAACAGATATGGATGGAAAAAACAACAACCCTGTATTTTGAGGTAGCCAGAGCTAGGAATAATAATCAGGGCAATGTGAGTTGTTAGCAACGGAGCAGTTTATTGTATGTGACCAATGAATCTAAGCGACTGCAGTTTCTCTTACTTCCTTCTGGGAAATTGCTTCAGTGAACTTGTTATATCACAAGCTCACTATTAGGGCCAGCCCTACCATTAGGCAGAGTCAGGCAACTGCCTCAGGAGACAGAGAGGCTGGGGACCAGCAGTGGCAGCCCCTGTTCCCTTGCCATGCCAGACCCCATGGAGCCACTTCCTTCTCTTAAAAGATGCAGCTGTTTGTGCCACACAACCTGTCCTCCACCTATGAAAATAGCTTGTCATGCTCAGGTTGGGTGGAGGGTGCTGCTGCACTGCCAGTAATAAACTAAGATTGATGTGCCAGTCCAATCTGGCTTTATACATGGTATGAACATGTGGAATTTTTTTTTTAATCATTTTAAAAAGTTTTACAAATTTGTTTAAAATGTTTATTCCCTGCCTTTCTCCTCAAAGGGATCCCAAACGACTTACAATATTAAACTACCTTAAAGGCTAAACCAATTAAAATATTTCAAGAGAACTAAATGGATAACACTAGTGAATAAAAATATGTTGAAACCACCCCATTGATTCTCAAGCAGCTGTAACAAGAGAGTAAAAAAGGAAGGATTGAACCATCAATGGGGAAATATGGGGAGTCCTCATCCTGTTAACCCAATGAACTGAGGACTTGCGTAGGCTTTGAATCTGACCACAGTAATGACTATTGAGCATTCCTGATTTATGATGTGTGGGAATCAGTCCTAGCCATCAGTTGTGCCAATGTAGAGAAGGTCAAATGAAGACGCGGAGCTTCAAGGAAATGCAACAGATTGCTTGAAAGGGGAATTTTGGGTGAACTGCTTCATCAGCGTCATTCTGGTTATTTGAAAGGAAACTTATATGGTGGCCTTTCATTCACAACTGTGATCTTTCTATCTTTCGAGAAGGTCATCATTCGTTAGGCAGAATACACACGACGGTGAATGGCCAGATTAAATTACACCAACGCAAACCTGTTGGACTGAATTGTATCGAGTCCTCTCTCTAAGGAGCTCAGCCCATGGGGGTTCCGGCTCCTTCGCCCGAGTCTTACAGCAGCCCTGAGATGGGTGCTCGCCCGCAGCCTTCCCACCGCCTTCCTTCTGGCGTGAGCTTTGCACAGCACGCTGTTACACCTGTTTTACGGGCAGGGCCAAGTCCTCTTGATTTCAAAGATGCTTCCTTCTTAGTCCATGTGCCTAGGACCGCAAGGGTAGGCGCTTTTCTGGAGCCTAAGAGCAGCGCTGCACTCGTCGTACCTTGTTCCCCTCCGGCTCCGTGGGCCTTTGATCTGGCTCCCGCTGGCAAGCAAAAGGCTGGGCTCTTTTCGTCCTCCTGCTTACAGTATTTTCCTTCTCCTTCCCGGGATTCCCCCCGCCCCCGCCGCCTCGCTCTAATTTGTTTTCTGCATGTCAGGCATGATTGCGGCCGGAGCTGCTCCTCACCCTGGTATGCCTGTGCGCTGGTGTACCCTATGGGAGCGGGAGCCTTATTCAGCAGTCTGCATGAAAGCACTCCTCTGCGAGCGGAACACCCTGGCGCGCGCGAAGCTCCGCGCGCATCGCCTCGGAATGCACTGGTCTTCTAATTTTATGAATGATTCTATTCATTCGGCCCCTCCCACCTCGCCAAAGCCCCTCCCCTGGAATGTTTGGAAGAGCGCCACCGTTGCTATTGGCTGACAAGGAGGTTCCTATTGGCTTCTAGCCCGGCAGAGGGGAGGGGCCCCGGTGAAATATAAATACAGAGACAACGTAGTTGCTTTGTAGGTAGTGAAAAGTTGCGCAATAAGGAGTGCGTGAGAGTGTTGGGCGCTTACAGAGGCGAGAAATATCGGGGATTTTTTTTCTTTCCTTTTGCAGCAGTTCCTCTTTGCTGTTTTCGTCCAGAAGCCTTGGGAATTCGTTTCTCTAAACTTTTTTTTTAATTAGTTGTCATTTTCTGTGCGTGTCATCTCTTCTCATCGGGCAGCAATGCAGCTCGCTGCCCTACCTAGTGTTATTTTCCTCCTGTGCCTCTCTCTGGTGAGTAGCCCTTAGCCAGCTCAGCCGCCTTCCCTTTGGTAAGTGACTAGGACATGCGACGGTGTTGACAAATGATGACAGCAAGCAACAGTCAGCCAGACCCGGGAGGCGGAGATCCTTAAGAAAATTTGATCAAAACCTGGAGGGCTCCCGCTAAATGCAAGTTCTAGCTGGCCCGCCTCCCTCTGCTGGCTCACCCAGGCAGTAGAACTGGTTGACCCTGATCACTCCGAAGTGATCTGGAGTAGAAATACTCCATGTAGATGCACGCGCGTGCGCGTCCTGCTTGCCTGCTTGCATCCCGAGTGGGCGCTGCCGGGCGCCGAGTCCCCACGTCGTGCTTTTGGACTACTTTCCGGGTGCTCTCCCATCGCCGGTTCGGAGCCGAGCCGAACCGGAAGATTCGCCTAAATCCAGTGTTTTTATCTATCGCCCTGTCCTGAGTGAAGTCAGGAATAGAAGCGCCCCACAGTGTTGAAGGTGAGGCTTTCCTTTCGCCTGCCTGCCTGCCCCTTCCCTCCCTCCCTCCCCGCTCGCATCGCAGAGGATTCCCGCGACTCGTCACTCGGGGGCGGGCGCTTTGATCCCGGTCGGG